TTATTAATAGGTACCAAAAATATAGGTGTGTTTTTACGGTTAAGTTCTTCAGTAATTCTTTTTTCATAAAGTTGAGTGTATTAAAAATCTGCAAGATGTATTCAGAAATGGCTCTTTCACTCATCAGTACTCTCACAAGAAAATGCAAGTTTACTACTAAAATAAACTTATCAGTCAGCTAACATACTTTTGAATACCCTGTTTTTATCCTGTTTTCTGCCGCTGTTCTACTTTAATAATACTGCTAATATCCGCAGATGGAAGGTGGGGATCCACACTTCAGCAATATGCATATGGGCTAATGCCATAAGGCCGTAATAAAAAAATTGACAGTGTGTTAGAATCTAAAATTGGATCTGATTCACAAGTACGGTTGCCCGTTCATCGTCTGTAAATTCATCTGTACCAATTTATTATTCTTCTACAACATTCAGCAGCGAAACTCTTAAGCATCACAATATGCCAAGTTTAGTACGTCGAAATCACCTTTTAAAACAGAAAAAGAATTTTTAGCTATTGTCATCTCGTTCCACCAGAGATGTCACACCTTTAAAATATGTTCAACATTTTTCCAAGGATGATAGTTCTGCACACTACAGAACAAATTCACTGATTCTAATTCTCGACTTTTCTTCTCCAAAAACAAAAAAAGGATGGTAGCTAATCTTTTCTCATTTCCAGTATCTTTTCTCCTATTATTTCTCTAACCCCCACATCACAGATTGCAACCACAATCTACAGGGGTCTTTCAGTGGAAAAGGAATCGCAATGGATTTTTTTTAGAAGGAATTGCAATGAACGTGTGATTAAACTTCAAAATCTTTCACATTAAGTAGACAATGATGTGATCTAGCCATCTTACGTCTACTAATGCATTGCATTTTGTCATTTCAGCTAAGCAACAGTTAAAATTCCAATGGTGTTTAAATGAGTCGTACCAAGGAACACCTTTATTAAATGTTTCCATCTGCACTGGTAGGCAGCATTACATGGAGAGGCAATGAAAGCCAGCCAAGCTTTTATAGATACTGATAATGCAATAACAATAGGAATTTATTCTCAGGCACCAAAAAAAAAGTTAAAAGAAAGAGAGAATATTAGAAAAGGGAACCTTTCTTTATCAACCAAGCTTCACATACACACAAAAAATCATACTAGTAGTGAAAGATTATGTCTTAATCGAGGTCTCAATCTGCCGGAAGTGATAGACTCCAAACACAATATATTAAGTGAATTAACCAATATCATGCACAAATTGCATGGGATTCCGAGGCACCTAGATAAATCACCAAAGCAAGTAAGCTTGCTTGGTAAACATATGATATTTTTGGTAAAAGAATAAAGCCTAATGACAGACAAATATCTTATTGGTAAAAGTCTTATCTCGTGGCTGATCGTGGGTTCCTAGCTGCAACTTCACCTCCTTTTAAGGATTATTAGCTATGGACACAGGTTTCATGACCATGATTAGCTGACAAAAGAACAAACTTGATACCAAATAGAATATCAGACAGACACAAACTTGTGTTCTGCTCTGTTTGTGCAGAATAAGATGGAAAATCTGACGCGAAACTTGTTCTCATCACAGCTAGTGAATAATCTTTGGCACTACCTGCTGTCGGTAGCTCAAAAGCTTCAGTAAAGATCTAGTTGTACAAATGTTGGACTTGAGGGTTTTATATGCTACCGAATTGCCTATTCGTCATTGCTTGCAGGAAACAGTGTAATATCCGGACAATCTTCAGCATGGGAGTAGGTAGCAGTAATAGTTTTCACTGTTATCATATGAGCAAAAGATTTTGAGTTCTTATACGCCACTTTCTAAGCACTTAGGAAATAATAGTTGGTGCAAGAGATGGTTTATTTAATGAGACATGAGGATACATTTGTAGTTTTGAGGTACCGAAAAAGATGGTCCTGATAATGTTCCACAGCAGTTTTCCATGTATTTATCTTCCATCTTCTTAGACATCATGCATCTAAAACCAGGTTATTTTACTATGACATCATGGATAGGTTCTTCCTTCCAGAGGTTGCTTGGGCAGAAACATCAGTCCGTGGAATCAAAAGTTTGGTGCCATTATGTGTACACGAGATTGTAACTCCAGAATACATTTATTACTATTGGCGCACCTGCCATCCTCTTCACTTGGCTGATTATAGGTTTTTGTTGCATGTCAAAGCTAAAAATTTATAAATGGCTGGCAGCAATATGGATGAGACAAGTTTTGTTATAGCCTTGAGGAAATTTGCAGCTGAAAAAAGATTGTCCTATTTGCAGAGTACAATTATACTTGGAGATGTATGGAAATGCACAAAGAATACGCACTTTATAGACTGAACATTTATTGAACAGTTGTACTGATATTTGAAATTTGCTTTATCTAGAAAGTAGTGAACCACCAAAAGGAATTGCACAGCAGCAATTTGAGCAACTAAGTAAATGATGGAACAAGAACAACAATCTTGAATACAGCATCTTGAATGCTAGAATCAATACCACGTGAGCGAAAGATCTATATTTACAAAATGGTAATACAAATTGTGGGTTGATCAGAAAAATGCAAAAAATAGGATACAAGGATATACCTCCAGGAACTCTTCAACCTTCGGATTGACGAATAGTCAAAATGGCCACAACAGAAAAATTAAGTACCTGCCTAGGCCAATGTTGGAGAATTACCAGCACCATCAATCTCATCTCTCAACATGACATCAATAACCTACCCAAAGTACAAAATATTATGATCCAACAGCTCAAGAAAAAGTTAATGATGGTCCAACAGGAAAAATAAACTCAGACGTCCCTCTAGAATGAAAACAAGTGTTAATAAGCACACGATAAAAGTTTTTTCCCGATCACAAGCTTGTAAGCATGTGCATAGAGACTACATGAGGAAAAGTTGTCATTTTTTTATGCAAAGATGCTCCAAAGTATTTCTTCAATAACATGGCTGCAGATGGAACTCTTAAAAAGATATTACTCAATCCAGTCTACTATGACTTTGTAGATTCTTTTCAATGATAAAAGCCTTGTATGATCACAACTTTGTAAGCATGTGTGTAAATGAGGAAAATATTATTATTATTATTATTATTATTATTATTATTATTATTATTATTATGCACCAATGTATTTCTAAAATGACTTGGTTAGAAAATGATTCTAAAAAAGAGATTAATAAGTATAGAGCACTCTTCGAAATTGTAATTTCTTTTCATGCTGACCTCTTCTCTTTTCTCTTTTTTTTTAGAAAACATTTGTCAACTGTCGCAAGTCATTGTTTTTTAACCGACATTCCTTACTTATTTTCCTTGCTTTCTCTTTGACTAAATTTGTGCTGGCGTGGTTCTTGACTTCTTAGTAATAACTCGTCAATTAATTATACCTCAATACGAAACTAGTTGGTGTTGGCTACTTAATATCCATTGAGTTCTTTTTTTCTTTTCTTTTTTTTGTGTGTGTTATAGGGAGATATTGAGAGTTATTAGAAAGTAAGAAGAAATAGCATACTTTTGAAATTAAGGTAAGACTATGTTCTTGCCTGCAAAGCATTGGTCTACTGGTAAGAGCAACTTGTGATGTACCCTGCCGCAGAGAAAAGCCTGATACTTAAGTGGAGAAAGGTAGAGGCAGGAGAGGTCCTTTATCCGCCGAGTTATGGATCATGCATCAGCAATGACCTGTTTTCTTTCAAATGTTCATGACACAACTTGATTTTGATATTTGTATATAAGTGGGACGTAGTTCTTGACATTTGTTGTGATCCCCTCAATGCTTCTAAAAATAGGTCAACATAACAATTCCCTAGCACAAATATTTCTCCTCTTTAAAAGCACACTACAAACATGACTGCTCTTTCCGCCTAATTCTCATGGATATATTAGGTTCAACATTTGTTAGGGGTTGTTAGGAGTCTGGTATTAAAGAATCCCAAGTTTTTAAAAGTATAGTGCACTTGGCGCAGGGCTCGAACTTGTGACCTAAGAGGATTTTATATCTTTTTTAATGTATTAACACTATTCAATCTCCATAAGCTGAGGAAATAAAAAATGTTCGCTGAAGCTTCTTTTAATTTATCTTCATTCTTAATCTTGTCTCTTCTAGTATGCCCACACATCCATCTCAGCTTCCTCATTTCCAGAAGATGCCGAGTAGCAGAAATGATGATGCTGAGATAGATGTGGGCATACCAGGAGAGACAAGATTAAGAATGAAGATATTCGGGACAAGATGGGAGTGGTATCCGTGGTGGACAAGATGCGGAAAGCGAGGTTGAGATGATATGGGCACGTGAAGAGGAGAGGCGCAAATGCCCTAGTGAAAAAGTGTGAGAGGTTGGTCATGGTGGGCCTGAAGAGAAGAAGAGGTAGGCCAAAGAAGTACTGGGGAGAGGTGATTAGGCAAGACATATCGCAGCTTCTACTTACCGAGTACATGACCTTGGAAAGCAGAATGTGGAGATCGAGAATTAGGATAGAAGGATAATGAGTAACCGAGCATAGCTTTTTACCATATCAGTAGTATTAGCAGTATTTTTTGTTTCCCTATCTTGGTAAGGGGGGTAAGAGGGCTAAGGGAACTACTAGGCGGAGAGTAGGTCTTGGAACATAGGAACTTTGACTGGAAAATCTGTAGAGTTAGCGAAAATTCTCGAGAAAAGAAAGGTTAATATAACTTGTGTACAAGAGACTAGGTGGGTAAGAGCTAAGGCGTGAGATGTGGACAGGTTCAAACTATGGTATTCTGGGAGGGTGGGGGGCAGGAACGGGGTAAGTATCTTGGTTGATAAGGACCTTCGTGAACTAGTGGTGGAGGTTAGGAGGGTGAATGACATGCTGATGACTATTAAGCTAGTTGTGGGAGGTTTTACTTTGAACATAATCAGTGCGTACGCACCCCAAGCAGGCTTGGATGAGGAAGTCAAGAGGCGTTTCTGGGAGGATTTGGATGAGATAGTGCGTTGTATCCCGCATACCGAGAAGCTTTTCATATGAGGAGATTTCAACGACCATATTGGAGCGATATTAGGGGATATGATGATGTGCATAGTGGCTTTGGTTTTAGAGATAGAAACGGAGGAGGAACGTCTCTGCTGGACTTTGCTAGAGCATTTGATTTGGTGATAGCAAACTCGAGTTTCTAGAAGAAGAGGGAGCACTTGGTCACCTTTCGAAGTTCGGTGGCCGAGACTCAAATTGATTATTTACTCTGTAGGAAGTCCGATAGAGGTGTTTGCACGGATTGCAAGGTCATCCCGAGTGAGAACCTCTCAACCCTTCATAAGCTCCTAGTCATGGACCTTGAGATAACGAGGAAGAGGAGGAAGAGGGTGATGTATAGCCAACATAGAATCAAGTGGGGAGCCTTGACAGAAGCTAAAGCGCAGGAGTTCGGGGTCAAGTTGTTGACTATGGGGGCTTGGAGGAGTAATGGGGACGCAAGTGCTATGTGGACCACGACTGCACAGTGCATTAAGGAAGCCGCGAGAGAGGCATTAGGGGTCTCAAAGGGTTACTCTGGTGGTCACAAGGGAGATTGGTGGTGGAATGGAGAGGTGCAAGGAAAAGTGGAAATCAAAAAAGCAACGTATCTGAAGCTAGTGGAAAGTGTAGACGAGGAGGAGAAGAGGGCGAATATGGAGCATTATAAGTTGGCTAAGAAAGAGGCAAAGCTAGCAGTTACGGCGGCCAAAGACTGTAGCTTTTAGTCGTTTGTATAAGGAACTCGAGGGCCGAGGTGGGGATAAGAGGTTGTTCAGGTTGGCCAAGGAGCGAGAAAGGAAGGCGCGTGACTTGGACCAAGTGAAGTGCATCAAGGACGAAGAAGGTAGAGTTNGACGGATTAGAGTTGATGAAGTTGAGGGGGCTATGAGTAAGATGAGTAAGGGCAAAGCAACCGGGCCGGATGAAATCCCGGTGGAGTTTTGGAAGAGTGCGGGCAAGGCAGGCGTGGAGTGACTCACTAAGTTATTTAATGTCATTTTTAGAACAAAGAAGATGCCCGAATAGTGGAGGTGGAGTACGATGGGTCCTGTATATAAGAACAAGGGTGATATCCAAAATTGCAATAACTATCGGGATATCAAGCTGCTTAGCCATACTATGAAAGTCTGGAAGAGAGTGGTAGAGCTACGGGTGAGGAGGAGTGTGTCTATTTCCGAGAACAAGTTCGGGTTTATGTCGGGGCATTCGACTACAGAAGCTATCCACCTTGTTAGGAGATTGATGGAGCAGTATAGAGAGAGAAAGAAGGACTTGCATATGGTGTTCATCGACTTAGAAAAGGCGTACGATAAAATTCTGAGAGAGATTTTGTGGAGTTGTTTGGAGGCTAGAGGTGTACCTGTTGCCTACGTTAGGTTGATTAAGGACATGTATGATGAAGCAAAAACCCAAGTGAGGATGGTGGGTGGGGACTCAGACCATTTTCCAGTTATGATGGGGTTGCATAAGGAGTCGGCACTCCGCCCTTTTTTGTTTGCTCTGGCGATGGACGTACTGACGCGCCACATCCAAGGGAGGTGTCGTAGTGCATGCTATTTGCAGATGATATTGTATTGATTGACGAGATGTGAGATGGTGTGAACGCGCAATTAGAGGTATCGAGGTAGACCCTGGAGTCTAAAGGTTTCAAGTTGAGCAGGACCAAAAGTTCAGTGGCGAGACTCAAGGAGGGGAAGGGGAGGTGAGGCTGGACTCGCAGGTCATCCCTAGGAGAGGAAGTTTTAAGTACCTTGGGTTTATTATTCAGGGGGATGGGGAAATTGATGAAGATGTCACACATCGTATTGGGGCGATATGGATGAAATGGAGACTCGCTTCCGGTGTTTTGTGTGACAAGGAGGTGCCACCGAATCTTAAAGGTAAGTTCTACAGAGTTGTGGTCAGATCAACGATGTTGTATGGGGTTGAGTGTTAGCCAGTCAAGATCGCTCATGTCCTGAAGGTGAAGGTAGCAAAGATGAGGATGTTAAGATGGATGCGCGGGCATACCAAGTTAGATAGGATCAGAAATAAGATTCGCGATAAGGTAGGTATGGCCCTTATTGAGGACAAGATGCGGGAAGCGCGGCTTAGGTGGTTTGGTCATGTGAGGAGGAGAAGCACAGACGCCCCGGTGAGGAGGCGTGAGAGGTTGACATTGGAGGGCCTATGGAGAAATAGAGGTAGGCCAAAGAAGAGGTGGGGAGAGGTGATTAGACAAGACATGGCACAACTTCTGCTGAGAGTGCGCATTACTGTGCACAAACTATGCTCAACCAAAAGGATAGACAATGAATCTTTGTGCACTCTTTCGGTTAGTGGCGGAGCCACCTTGAAGAAAGATTGACACACCTTCGTCGGAAAATTACAACATAAAGATAGGTTAAATTTATTTTTTATGTATATATACATGTTGAATTTGACTTTACCGTATATTTACTTTTTTATATTATGACACCCCCTGAATGAAAACCCTGGCTCAGCCACGGGTGTCGGTTAACGGCACATGAACAATAAATTAGGAGTGAAGTGCTGACAAAGATATCCCAAGGATGAAAACGTTTGGAAACTGGTGCTCAGAATCTCCCGTGTTCATTTCCCATGCTTTCAGAGATATGTTAAATGTTGGAAGGAAAGAAAAAAAGAAGTCTGAGTTCGAGATAATGAATCTAGAGATGGTACAAAAGATTGAGGGGGTCACCCTTTGCATGGATGTTTGACTGATTATAGAAACTGAATTACAAGAAAGTGGAGAAACTAACAGCAAGGAAGAGGTAGAGGCTTCATGAGTTGCAGCACAATGCAGAAGCTCTGTTTACCCTCTATTCTAGTTCTAAATTGGAAAGGAAGTGAGCGAAGCAAGTATGAAATAGAGCCCTATTAAAATGTCCTCAAGTGGAAAAAGATGGTTCAAACAGCTTACTATTCAGAGGACCGTACATAGATTAATTTATATGCGGTGAACAAATAGACAATAAAGGAGTTCAAACAGAGACAATAGCAGCAGATACCTCATGGAAGGATCTTGGGCCTCTCAACCCGTGTTCGAGGAATTGCCAAGATGGCTACAAGTCCACCAGCAAATGCTGAAAGTGCAGCTACAACAAAGGCTGGTGAGTTGCCACCACCAAATAGCTCATCCCATGGTCCACTTCCAAGTGAAACCACGATCTGTGACCAATAACAAAATCTTTCAATCACTGGCCTATATAACTTTAGGAAAATGATAAGATACATGCTGCAAAAGGTACAGCGGACATTCCTCATGGAAACACCTATGAGAATACTAATGTTCAGTATTCACTTGAATGATACTATAAATTTCCATCACTTGTGGCATTCTGCTCCTTCCCTCATTTTCTTCTAACTCAAAACAAACGGCTAAACAGAAAACAGCTACAAGATAAAACTGAAAAGATGCAACACAATGCACTTGTGGATACACATCCATCGACATAAAGGCTTTGATGTTTAATCAGACCACCTTTTGGGGATTGTTCTTGTTCCAAAAAACCCATAGAAAGAGACAAGCAAACTTATACCTGTGGGAACACAATAGCCAGGTTCAGAACGCCCATTGACAAACCTGCAAGGTTGAAGTAGTAATTGAAGCACTACTTTCTATTTGACCTACAGAATAATGATCAAAATAGACACAACTCAATCTACCTTGTCCTAGCCCAAGAGCTTCAATCCTTGAGGATACCAGAGCATATGGAACACTGTATGTTATCTGCAGAAAATGGCTTGCATTATACAATAATATACCTAAATAAAGCTCTCTTCTAAGCCCACATGAACCTTGTGCTTAAACTGAAGCCTTTTGAAACAATAACCTTGCTCCAATTTCCTTCCATATCATGTTACATTTGACAGGCATATTACATGAAAAGAATATTTCAGCCAGATTGAATACCTATGTACATTTTTCAACAGTAACAAAATCTGAAAAGGACAGTTCACTTGTACATCTAACTTTTTTGTTAATCTTTCTTAAGAAAAAACAAAGTCAAAGAGCTAGTCTTAGACTTGGTGATGAAATCTCACAAGTAGAAATGAAAAAGACAGATAAAGGCTGGCTGTCCATAATAAAATATCGGAGAAAGAAAATTTGATGTGGTTAAGAGGTGTTCTAATTTCAGTAATTCTACACACAAAAATTATGTGTGGTTTAAAGGTGTTCTAATTTCACTAGTTCTACACATAAACCTGTGTGGTCGTGCAAAATAATTTATAGTTGCAACTTGAAAATCAAGCAACTTACAGCCAGTGGGATCCCAAGAAGAGCAAACACTATTAGCGCAGCAATAACTATGCCATCCGGAGGAAGACCCTGGCCAATGTCTATGTTACTCCTAACTGCAGTAATTATAAGCATTGCTATAAAGCAGAGAGACATGACAACATTTGAAACTCCCCATGTGAATCCAGCCCCCCATTTTCGACAGAGCTTCTCCATGAGCAATGAAGTTACTCCAAGAAGCACGGAATTCAACATTAGACCCAATGAACCCATTCGGACTCCGGCACTGTAATTCTTTCCATCATTTGGTTCACCACCATAAATTTCTCGACCAAACCAGTCAGTATCGAACAACAGAAATGGAAACCAGCCAATCCAAGTCAGGGCAGTGACAAGCAGGATCACCCAAACAATACCTGGGAAATACTTGAAAGTTCCAAACAATTCCCAGAGAAAAGCTTCTTCTTGGCCATGGCTTGTTTCGGAAATCTCTTCTCCAGTATGAGAGGAGCAATGATTGGGATCTAGAGGCTGCTCATTCGCTGCCGATATACTGATATATGTAGTTGTTGCAATAAAAATAATGTCAAGAATAAAAGCGGCCTTTAGATTGGCACAGTTGATGGTGCACGCAGAGTTGAGGGTGAAAGGGAAGATCTTGTACCAGCTACTGTAAGATCCAGTTGCAAAGCCAAGGATGTTACCAATGGCCATAAATAACGAAAAGTATGCATTTGCTACCCGAGTTCTTCTATGATCTTTCACTGCATGTTAGAAAGCATAGAAAATGTCACTAGCTTCAAGGCAACTTCCTGATATAAATAATCACAAAGCAATGACAATGGAGTCTATGGTACAAAATGGTAAAACTGATACATCTCAGCCCTGAAAAATTAAGCTCTGCCAAGCATTTTCTTTTGGTCTCCTGTATCAACTCTGCAATAGCACTATCTCTCCATTCATTCATCCGTGGAGGCCCTCTATTTCAAAGCATTGTTAGACTTAGACCGAAGCCGCCATTTTCACCATTTTGGCATTCTTACACTTTAGTGTTATTTTATCCCAAATGGTTGTAGCTAGGGGCCAAATTCAATAAAATGTAATTTCATTTTAAAATTTTGGTTACGCTAGTTAGCATCAATGATGATGCTATCATGCAAAGTAGGAGGTTTTACTAGCTCCTTAGAAAGGCTATAAAATACTTTTAACTAAATTAAGCACACTTTTATGCTTATGTAAGCAAGGATTTTAAATGCAAAAGCAAGCCGAGCTTTTCAAGACAAAACCCAATGGAAAAAGGAAAAGAATAGGTGCACCTCTAAAGGCCAGTATCTGTAGACTATTGGATATCTACTGCTTGAGTGATAATAACAAATTGATTTCGGACCCTATGACACCATCTTATTTTCAACTACAGAAGCAAAGATCAATAAAGTCGTTCTCAGAACAAGTGGGAACTAACACAGGATTTAAGAATAAAGCTGCAGCTTCAAAGCTTCTTATTTTTGGAGAGCAATCATCTTTCAACAAAATCCCGAAGAAAGATAGCAGACGTTATTTCTCCTTTTTCGTTATTCTTTTCTTGAAGGAAAAGGTGGAGGATGAGAGAGAAGCTAGTTCAGCAAGCACACAATCTCTACTTTTAGCCATAATTTGCTTTCAATTGGAGATTGAGCTCATCACAATGTTCCAAAATTTTGCTTTCCTCAGAAGTTCTAAATATGTAAATTTGTAATTTGATTTTTCTTATATGGATAATTTCTTTTGCTTCTTTTCAAACTTTCTAATTTAATTTCCAGCAGACACTCAAGATGTGATGATCCAATCATGCCATCAACCTTAAAATGCATATAAGAATCCTTGGTCAGTAATTTTCTCTTCTTATATTAGTTCTTAGTACAAAGTCTCAATGCCATATTTTTTTCAAATTATAAAAGCTTTTCAACATGAACCAGGAAACTGAACGCTTATGTAGTACCCTCTTGCACGTCACCACAATATAGAAAATGGTGCGTATGTCCCTCATATTACAACTAATTGTATCATAATTCCAAACTTTATCGACTAAAGATGTCTAAACCTGAAGTTACCAAACAGTACGATGTTTAGTTTCTTCTACTTATCAAAAAGACTTCTGATCTCTCTTCAATTTGCCGTTAACTTTTGATAAACAAAACCAAGAGCAGAATTCGCATGTGGTTAGCCGCTGAAGATGGAGGAGCTGCTGCCAAACCCTTCCTTTTTGAAGGAAACTACTTTAGAGTAATAAGGACATCAATATTTTATCAATGAAAAGTTTTCACTTGTCCATAGGAAGAAAAACCCAAAAATTTAACTTTTGACAAAGCACTACACCACAAAAATGAAGCCTAGTGCAAGTGCGCAAGGAGGTAGAATTACGAGCTTATCCAATAGTTTTCGAATATGAATTATTTGCTACTTCTTCCAATTCTTTTAGTATCATATGTGTGACTTGTACTGCCATGGCATTTGCTTCTATTATAGTATCTAATTTTGCATCTCCTGATAAAGCTAATTAAGCAAATTTGGATTGGTGATAGGAGCAAAGTCATGTGATGTTGAGCGGGAGTAGTTGCACTGACCTTCCCAAGCATGCTAAGCTAAACATCAGTAAAAGGGCAATCTGGTGCACTGAGCTCCCTGTAAGCGCGAGGTACGGGAAAGAGCTGGACCACATTGGATCTATCGTATTTAGCCTTACCTTGCGTTAGCTAAACAACAGTATTTAACCTTATTTACTTGATCTTATACCTTTGCCCCTGTTAAACTATGCAATGATTTATCAAAAGTTCTCATGTGTAGCTTCAAATTTTTCATCATTTTGTGCAATGTTGAAGCTTCTAAATTTAGAGAGGTTGTCTAAAACCTTATTGACATATACAACATATTCATGAAGTATAGGGTTTTAAGAAATTGGGAAGTTGTTATGCAAAGTTTTACATTTACCTTTAAGCATGCACCATAAGTATGGCAAAAACAATTACTAATTCAAAACACAAGCTTCATATCTTAAGAATGAAAGATATTTTACTAAGAAAATTTAAATTATTATCTAGATATTTTTAAGTGGAAAACTGCAACTTCTTTTTATTTCATGTTATTTTTTCAAGGATGAAGTACTCTATTCCAATTTAGCAGAGAAAATTTGTCAAAATGGTCACAAAACATAGGTCTTTTCATTGTTAGGAGTACAAAAACTAATTGACCAGTCTATTTTAATTTTTTTGTGGCACGCATAGTCCTCATTTGGATTAAAAGGAAGAGATGTACTTCTCAAAAATGCTTGCTCCCGCTGAAAATAAATTCTAGATCTGCTCTTGACGGGTGATATAGCTAGTCCATATAATTAATTACTTATCAAAAGGAAAAGCTAGTCCATATAATTTTCCATTCAATTCCATAGCCTAGTTAAATTACCCTTCTATAGGCTATAGCTGGTAAAAAATCATCAAAATGCAATATCAAATATCAAATCACTGAAATTCATCGGGAAGGATACAATATTATACTACTTTATAGTAGAGTCCGGAACCAAAATGTAGTTCTTTTGGACTCAAAGAACCAAAATGTGTGGAAAAAAAAACTGGTGACCATAATATATATAACGCCCTTTTATAAGGCGCTATACCTTAACGGCCGTTTGCCCAGTTAAGTATAGCGCCCTTATTTAAGGCGTTATATTTGAACGCAAACTGGCGGGATTGTATAGCGTGCTAACTTAAGGCGCTATAGTATAACGCCCTTACCTAAGGCGCTATACTTACATAAATAATCGCCCCT